CGTCCAACCTCTTTAATAAAACTGCCCTCAGCAGAGGCTCTAGCCCTTTTTTTGTACCGTGGACCCCTCTGTCATGCTGATGACGTCTATGAACTCCTCTCAGACTAGTGCATTTAAGGCACATAAAAGAAAAAGCAAAGGTTACATCAGAAATCTGTTTTTATTAAACTATTAATAAATTTTATTATATTATTAAAATACCACTTTCAAATCTTTTTGAATGAATTTTTTATGGAATTCTATATGAGCAGTTTTATGACAGTCTCACAAAGTATCTTGAACATAACCAGCCTGTGAGAGGTACTGTAGCTGTCCTGAGTTAAACCTGCCACAGCTAACGCTTGGTACAGCTGAGGCTTGAGCCCACGTGCCCCCACTCCTAGAGAAATTCTCCTTCAGTTGCACCAAGTGAATGCAGTATGAGCCTTTCTGCAAATGTCAATGGAACAATCACTTTCCCTGTATGTCCTTCCTCAGAAGTCCCAGGAAAACATACTCTGGGTTCTCATCACACTTTGGAAACCTCCTCCTCTTTCCAACAACTGAAGACTCTACATCCCAAGATAATTTCCTGTTTTTCTCTCTTAACTACAGATCAGTCTTTACAGTCAGATGGACACTTATTCAGAAATTACCAAATATTTTTCTGTTGGGTTTTTTTGTTTGTTTTTTAATATCCACTACAATGATATCCCCAAGGTTTGCCCCATCATGCTCTCCTATCATCCGTATTATCCAAACTACAATGTGTCTTCTATTTTATCCTGCCCAGCCCTGGCATTCTCTCTCACATCAACCATTCCTCTTTTCAACACCTGTCCCAGTCTGCACAGAGTGGTTTACCATTCCTCACTTCTTAAGCTTTTGTTTCCAAACAATCTAACCCTTTCCTCCCTGAATGAAGTGATTATTCCAGACAACCCCAATTTAATGAATTCTTCCACATTTCCTCAGTGAGCTGTTCTTATCATCCCCTCTCCTCAGTGTATTTCACTTCTCATCTCTGTGATATATAATTGTACCCCAGAACAGAATTCTCTCTGCCATCTTTGTCTGCCATTTAGAATGTACTGCTCTTACCTCAGCTCTAACAAATACATTGAAGACATCCCTAATCCTCTCAATTCAAAGTTCCTGTTTTCTTTAAGAATTTATTTTACTACTGCTGTTGAAAATATACAAAGCAAAACATACACTAACCTATTTCTACATGTATAACCAACCCATGCCTATCACATTCTCCAAGTTGTATAACCATCCTTATCGTCCTTTGCTGAAGGTTTTCTCCTCATTAACATAAACTCGCACAACCCATCAAATTTCTTATCTAACCTTTCAAGTTGCTGTTGTCTATTTGGTCTCAAATAGATAATTCTTTATTCAAGATATTATTTAAAAATCACTGTGTGATTTTTAAGGAGTCTTCAGGGAACATTTTTGGTGTAAGGTTTAAAGGTTATCTCTAGCAATAGTTCAAGGAGTGCATCCAGCCCCTATGAATCCAGAAAGTCTGGATTCCATGAGAATCTGAAATTCTGTTATGCATTTCTTCTTTCTGATCAGGATTCTTTTATAGCATCTTCAATCAAAATGTTTAGTACTGGTAGCTGGGCACCAGCCATTTCTTCTGATCTTATAGCAAAGTAGGTAGTTTTGCTACAAGATCATGTTCATGTAGACAACTAGCCACATATTCTATTTCCTCCTTCTTGAACCTCCTTTCTCTGCTGCTCCAGGTGACTAGAGACCAATTATTGTGCCTTGAATGGCTACTTGCAAGCTCTTTTTTTTTTTACTTGCAAGCTCTTAATACCTCAAGTACTATGCCACAAACTAGCAAACAGAACAGGAATTACGTTAGGACAATTATTCTGGGAGTCAAAGCTCTTTCCCTAGCACTGTCACATGGCCTGTCCCTACAGGTCTCCAGAACTGACCCTAGTCACTTAAGGCTATGGACCACTTAAAACGTGACAGGTGAGATATGCTCAAAGTGTAAATTATTTTATTTCAAAGACTTAATATTAGAGGAGGATTATAAAATAGCGTGTTTATAATTTTGGGTAATGTTGAAATAGTAATTTAGGCATACAGAGGTAAATATAACCTCAAAACTAATTTCATCTATTTCTTTATGCCATTGATGTGGCTATTAAAATTAACTTTTTAATAATTCCATATATGGCTTACTTTATATTTGTACTAGATGGCACTACTCTGGGCTTGCATCTTTCCTATTGGTTCAAAATTCTTTCCTCCTTTATCAATCCTAGAAGAGAATAAGAAGGCCAAACACTTCCCATTACTTCTCATGCTTAAGACCAAGAATTCTTTTCAATCTACCATTCTTAACACCTTCTCTACTCCAGTATTCTATATTTAGTATCTCTTTTTGCCTGTTTATATAGCTTCTACTTCTGCAGTCAAAATCACAGTAAAGTTCTGGCTTTTCCTTCTCTTCATCAATTCTAGTAGAGTGTGTTATCTGTCTTAATCCTCAGTAAAATATTTTTTAAAGTTTCTTCATCCACCCTTCCGGAAATGTCCTATCTTTATAATAAGTTCATTTAAAAGGGCTGGCAAATTGTTAAGCACTAAACATAAACAAGCAATGATTTCATATAAATGTCTCCCATGCATACTGAGAAGTACCCATACTGCTGTGGAGTTCAGTGGCTTTTCAGAGACTAAATCACATGGGAGGAGACGGCACATTTCTCACAGGAGGAAAGCTGGTAGATTTGAACTACCTGCCTTTGGGTTGGTAGCACAACTCCTTCCTCTCTTAGGCCCCTAGAGATTCCATCATCCACACTAGAACAGCAATTCCACCTCTGTCATTCTTAAAGATAACATTCTTTCTCCAAATCCTGCTAAGAGCGAGACTGCAATCCTATTATCCTCAGCCGAGAACTCTCTTCTCTCCAAATATTCTAAGGCAATTCCCCAAACAGAGTCTGTCTGTTTTCCAGTCATTTACAGCCCAGGCCTTGCAGCATCACTCTCCAGATCGATTTTTCTGCCCAACATTTCTGGAACTGTATTTTCTTTCCTCGACTATTTCAGGAAAAACACCAGCCTAAAAGGTAGCTGAGAGCAGCCTGGAGAGGCAGACCTGGCACAGTTTGTCCTGAGACTGGGGAGGAGCTGCATTACAGGCGAAGTGTCTCACTTTCTCTTCTCTGGTCCTCTTCTGCTGAAATGTCTACTGACTGTTGCCCTGCCCCTCAGTCCTCTGTGGCCTCTGTGGCTCTCTGTTCCCATACCAGCGTGTGACAGGGCCACCGTGAAGCATCTCAAAGCACCGCCTCTGAAGCAGCTCCTTCCCGGCACTCTTAGCAGAGGTGCCTAGCCTTTCCCCCAAGGACCTCCCTCCTGCATCCAGCATTTCCACAGAGATCGTCCCTTTCTCATTCCTTGTAAATAAAGCCCAGTTCCCCATCACTCCTACTACCTTTAAAGAAAAGTACTCCTAGTATTGGAAATTCTCACTGTTCCCTAGAATCTTCACTTAGCAACCCCTAACCCTCTCAAGACAACTCTTTCCTCACAGAAAACCCAGGACAGAAACTCCTTGTTGTGTATGTTCCACAGCACACCTTCTCATAAATATTCCCATATTTCTGCTTGTTCTTCTGTCCTTTCCTAAGTTCCTCCCTCAACATTTCCATTCTGTTCTTTTCCTGTTTACTCCTCTCTCTCGATGTCCAATTTTACAGTCAATATTCTATCTATCCAGAAACACCACCAAGGAGCTCTAGTGGCAATCCCAAAGGGGGCACCCCTCTAACAGTTCTGATGTACCAGAAGCTCCAAGGGAGAAAGATGGGCAGTCTCCTCCAGTTTGATTTACGGCTTCAGAAACCCAACAGTGTCAGCTGTAAGTCAGGTCCCACTCAACAGCAAGGAGATTGAGTTTTATTCTATCTGCTTTAGAAAAGAGCCCCCAGTAACGACCAAGTGGCCCTGAAGTCTAAGACAAATTCAATTGCTTGCCTTTCTCTCAGATCTCACCCACTGGAAGTGCCCTGTCTCTGTCACCCCTCCAGCTCCTCCTCCAGATCTGCTCTGGTCCTGTGCGTTTCTGAGCCATTGCTCTGGTGATCTGGATTCCAAAAGCCAAAATGCCTAGGGCTAAGGAGGAAGAGACCAGGGAGGAAGACCCTACAGCAGCCTGTGGGGTCAGGGAAAGTGATCAGCTCTTTGGAAACCCAGAAACCTAAAAAGAGGACCAGTCCTCTCCTGGCAAAGGACAAAAAAAGACTCCTGAATCTCCTAGTCTGTGCTAGAGCCCCGAGGTCTCTTCTGCTTCTAAGCTGGAGGTGATAAATGGAGTCGTGATTCACCCTGCCATTAAACCATTAAAGAAGTTTCAGTGACAGCGCCGCGCACTTGCAGGTGGCCCATCAGATCCATAAGTCTCTGCCTTTGGCCAGTGAACACTCTTGGGGTTTCTAGGACTTAAGGGCCAACGGGGACAGAAGGGCACTGGTGTGCGCGTGGCTGAGAGCAGCACAGCTTCCCATCCAGTGTGGTGAGGGTCTGGCGCCTGCAGGAACTGTCAAGGAATCTTCCCACTTCCAGAATCCCATCTGCATCCTCAGCTCCTGGGCTCTGAACCACATCCAGCCTCCAGTCACACGTCTTTAGCCTTTCTCTCGGCCTCCAGCTCCCTGCTGGCTCCCTGGAGCCCCTACTCAGTTTTTTAAGGTTTGGCTCTAGCCCTGCCAGGTCAGAAGTGATGAGACCCTCACTTGTGGGGAACTTTTGGCATCACCGCGCACAGGCACCCTATCAGGGCGTCAAGGGTCAGTGCACTCTGCCCTCCCAAGTCGGAACTGACAGCCCAGGGACCTGCCGCCAGCCAAGGGAGAGTCGCACGGGCCGGTAGCCTGCGGAGCCCGGGGCGAGCGGAGAAAGGCAGGGTTCCTCGCAGGCGCCCGCGGGAAGGGAGCCGGCTCCGGGCTCGCAGGCGGCCGCGCGCGCGCTCGGACACTTACCCGGCAGACTTGGGAAAGTGTCGGAGAAGTGCGGCGGCGGCGGCTCGGCCCCCTTATCCCGCGCCGGGCCCAGCTCGTCGGGTCGCGGGCCGCCCTCGGGGCGCAGGGCACCGGGCTCGTGTGGGGCCCGCCGGCAGCCGCGGCGGGGGCCAGCTCCGGCGGCCCGTAGAAGGCGTCGGGCGGCTCGGCAAAGCCGGGCAGCGCGGCCGTGAGCGCCACCATGGAGGG